GCAGCGCGCAGCGCGGGCAGCGGCATGGCAGTGTGCTGGCGAGCGCCCCCCGCGCCGGTCTCCACGCGGCCACGCCCCGCCCGCATCAGTTAGTGCAGCGCATACAAACGCCGCCATGGCCAGCAACAGCGTCGTCGCGCCACAAGGGTGGGTCCCGGCTTCAGTTCAAAGTACACTACTGGAAGTACAGGCGCGTGACTATGTTGCGTTTTCAGTGTAGTGTGGTCTTACTGTGTCGTGTGTATACGAGCGAGCCGCCTGGTGCGTAGGCAGTCAACGTCTGCCACTACTCGGAACACTCCGATCGATGGCCCGACTCGACAACCACATTAGTATCCCCCTCCTTAAGGGCACACCACATAGTTCTCAACTGACCAGGATTTAATAAATGTCGCTGCTCATCGTTACAGCAAAGTGACATTCCCTTCATAATGCTGTACATCGGCGTGGGCCTACATGGGCCCTACAAAGATTGCAGCCCGTTTAATAGCATGAAACGTGCAAATTTTACATAGCCAGACCCTACTCACGACCCAACCAATCATGTTCAAGCGCCCCCCCTACACCCCGGCACCATAAGGAGTCGGAGGTAAATTCCCTGAGGCCTTATATGTTGCGCGATCAATCAGAATCGTGTAATAGTTGTCCAGCCACCAGGGAGTGCGGTGCGCGTGATTGGTAGAAAGGGCCTTTCCAGGCCGGAGCAGAAAACCTTGGGTCACATATGACCTGGTTCTTTCATGTCAGGCCATGTTGTCAGTCGCCCGCGAGGGTCTCTTGGCAAAGAGCAGCTCCATACGGTGATGGTGCGGCTGATAAGGCTGCAACGCGTCCGCGACGCCGTCAGGAGCAAGTTTGCCGAACAGTTTCTAGTTTTTATGGGTTTTGGCAGCAATAGCGCAAGTCTGCAAACAAGGTGGTGCCATAGCTCTTGGGTCGTAATGTTCTAACGACACGACGGTGAGAAGATCGGCTGCGCAGAGGAGTGTCGGGACTTCCAATACCAAAATACATACAATGTCTGAGCTGGTCGACTACACGCCGTTCCAAATTATAAGTCTCATTGAAATTACAGCACAGCAACAGCAACGCAGAGTAAAAACACGCTTTGAAAAGGAAATTGTGGCCCTGCAGCAATTGCGTGGTTTGCGACCGACTCGCTTCATACTCTGGCCGGGGAATACGTCGACTCTTGAGCAACGCCCGCACGTCGTCCGTGACACGTTGGGGCTCGGGCCGGCCCAGGACACGACAACCTGATCTGCTTGCCCAGATGGTTAGACCCACTCAGGCCCCCCATTCAAGGCCATTACATTGAACGGTCCGGCAACAGAAGGGCCGAAGGGAGCGTAAGGCGACTAAGTTCGGGATGTCGGATGGGATTTATTGCAGTGAGTGTGTTTAAATTTTCGATTTATGCAAAGCGGTAGTATGGGAATGGAAGGGGGCTGGAGATTCGCTACTGTAATTAGTCCAGTTGATGATAACATTTTTCTTAGAAATGAATTATCTTTGTGTTGCCAAGTGTGAGTTATCTTTGACGATGGACCCAGCCTGAAAACAACCGATAAATTGGGAGTATACCTTGTACAGCCTTCCACGAATTGGTGGAAAGGTACAAGATGAGGAACTAGGGGAAATGCGATTGAGCTCTTATCATCTATCTGGCCAGATAGTGTCATATCAGTCATATCAGGAGGGGTGACAACGAATATGGACTTCCTCACCAACCATACCGTAAGTTGAGAAAAGCTGCCTGGCGGCCTCTCTTTTTGCAGTCCCCCTTCCCTTTTTTTTCCTCCATCCCTTCGTGTCCTCCAATACTCCCCGAAGTCCGAAGTGGCCCCAAGCAGGGGCTTCCCCCTACCCCACAAAACCTCGGCAGGCGGGCGAGGGCGAGGGGGATGCCTCATATGCCATGTGGTCAGGAAGAAGGGCCAACTACCATAGACGGGATCACCGGAGTCCCTATAGCCTTCGTGGAGGGGTCACGTCACATGGCGTACATATATTAAACGAGTCCGGTTGATCCGATCCCCGTCGTCGTCGTCACTGACCTGTCGTGTCTGCAGGGGGCGCGCCCAACGGGCGGAGGGCGGCTCAGCCATGCTGCTCAAGCTGTACTCGGCCCTCGTGCTCCTGCTGGACATCCTGGTGCTGACGGTGCGCTGCTTCGTCTCAATCTTCCAGTCCACCTTTCAGCTGATCGTGCCGCCCAGGGAGAAGTCTGTCAGCGGCGAAACCGTGCTGGTGAGTCCTTTCACAAACTAAAGAAAAGAAAAAAAAACGCAATAATTTGTTTGCCCCACGACATTTCCTTGTGGAAAAATTCGTGAGAGATAGAGGACGCCTTGCAAGTCAGTCTCTGAACAAAAGAAAAAGAAGTTGTTTTTGTGATACACTCTGTTCGACCAGGAGTTGGTTGTATCGGATTCTCAATACCAGATTCCGATTTAGCCGATCAAACAGAGTTTATCACCACAACGGAGTGTATCTCTTTCCCCGTAAACAATCGGCAGACTCAGTTCTGAACAGTTCTGAAGGTCTCGCCCCTCACCCACCCTTTCCTCCCGGTGAACCCTAGGCAGCGGTCTCGCGTAAACACCGCATTTGCGTTACAAAACCTACAAATAGGGTATGATACGCAGAGCCGGACTAGGGGGCCCAGGGCCCAGGCGGGAATTTGCCTACATACAGGGGCAAATCGCCCATATACGTGCCCAAGCTAGAAAAGGGCCCGAAATGATACCTTTCGGTGGGATTTCCCGCCTTCCCGCCCAGACCAGCCCGCCTCTGACGCTACGCACAGTACACAGGGCGGGACACACTAGTGTGTGAAGTCCAGTACACGCAGCACTCTTAGTTTCTAACAAAGAGCAGTCTTCATATTACGAAGAATTAGGTTTGTAACATAGAAAGGATCTGGAACCACCGTATTACAAACGGGTTTTCATCGTATTACAAAGAGTACCACTTTGTCAGCATGCATGCCTCTTCGTATTAGGAATCGTCCAGAAAGTACGTTGGTTTTTCTCAGATTGATTCGACAAATTACATGAGCTGAGCGCCTGCGAGACTCGTGGTAGGCCACCCCGCAGTACACGTATGCCCTGCAGGCAAGGTGTTGCCTACCCATCAGGCGCCATGAGAGCACGCCTAAGCTGAGCTTGGCAGATTCGTGACCAGTACTTTCAGGATTATCCCTTACGAAGCCGAGTCCTTCGAATTAAAAGGCGACCCTTGAAAATGAAAAGGTCGTATCTCGGAGAGCCTGGCTATAAGGTCGGATTTCGCTATGGGTAGGACAAAAGGTCTTATGTGCATTTTTTGGCATTTTGCGAAATGTATATCATTAGAATCAGGAGAAAATGTCCTTTTCAATGGTATACATCCCACAAAATCGCCCAAAAATGCACTTACGACCCTTTGTCCCGACCATAGCGAGATCCGACCTTACAGCCGGGCTCTCCGAGATGTGACCTTTTAATTTTCAAGGGTCGAAGGGATTTGTTTATATTGCGAAGGTGCCAGAACCTTTGCACGTTACGAAGAGAAGTTCTTTTGTAAGAAACTTACAGAGAGTGAATGTTGCGGGGCCGTGGCCGTGATGCCTTGCGTGGGGTGAGCGAGTAGGCAAACCCGCAACACTGCCGTGTTGCCCTAGTCGTGGTAGCAATCTATACATTGATGTTTAACACAGCGACCGGCGCCCTCTGTTCTCAGATCACGGGTACGGGTCATGGCATGGGCCGTGAGCTGGCCGTCAAGTTCGCCGCCCTGGGCGCCAACCTGGTGCTCGTGGACATCAACGAGCGCGGGAACGCGGAGACGGCCCGCCTTGTGGCGGAGCTGACGAGCAAGAAGCCGCCGCCCGCCTACCGCTGCGACGTTTCCCGGCGGGAAGATGTGCTGGCCCTGGCCGCCAAGGTGCGCGCCGAAGTGGGAGAGGTCACGGTGCTCGTCAACAACGCCGGCATCATGCCCACCCACCCACTCTTGAAGCACACCCCCGAGGAGATAAAGAAGATTTTCGACATCAACGTGCTGGCACACTTCTGGGTATGTAACATAACATGTGCGTGCTAGGGTACTTGTCCCTTGTGCCCTTGTGTGTGAAGTCGATATTCAATGAATTATTCACCCGAGGATCATGCTTATTTCATTCTACTGTTTTGCAGATGCTTGAGGCATTTTTGCCAAGCATGATACAGAAGAACCATGGCCATGTTGTTGCTCTTTCGTCAATGGCAGGTACCATGGGCCTGTCAAACTTAGTGCCATACTGCGCATCCAAGTTTGCAGTGCGAGGTCTTATGGAGGCCATTTCTGAGGAGTTGCGAGAAGATGCCAGAAACATCAATGTCAAGTTTACAACAATTTGTCCTTTCATGGTAGATACAGGACTCTGCGAAAAGCCCAGGATCAAATTCCCTTCAATATTAAGTATGCTTGGACCAAGTGAGGCAGCTGACGAGATCATCACAGCAATGAGAAGAAATTACCATGAAGTCTCGATACCTAGGTCACTACTAAATATCAACAATGTGTGCAGGTAAGATACTATGTGGAAGAAACAACTTAAAATAATTTAAAATGTTCACGATAAGTTTGTAGTGTTTTCTTCAATGTTCTGTTAGTTAATAATACTTGTGAATATTTCTTTTCAGAGTTTTCCCTGTTAAAGTTTGCCACCTAATAAAGGACTTCCTGGACAGTGGGGTGGATGCAGTTTGAAACTGAGGTGTTTGACAAACTATTTTTGAAGGCTGTGCATTTTACAGATTTTAATTTAAGATGATCAACGTACATATTTTCACTCTAATTGGTGAAAAAATTAAAAAGTACAATTACAATTAAGGAAAAAAAATTATATGATTTCAAGTGAATGTATGTGTCTGGTTCAAGAATGAGTGCTTAACCTTTCTGATAATTTAATAAAATCCTACTTTTGTAGTGGTACTTTCCAAAATAAAATGTGGCCCCCTTTTGGAAAATGTTCGGATTTACCAAAAGTAAACAGCTTTGCTTATTTATAAATGTAACATGTGTGTTTTAATTTAAAGTCATTTCGTTGAAAAGAATAAATGTAAAACTAACTTATTAAGCAGAATTGTCTTTAAAGCTGTCTATACTCTCTCAACAAAAAGGGTCCTTGAGACTGAAAATATTTAAAGGAAACTCCAAAGAGAAATGCTTTTGTCTTTGCTTGCTGCTGCAAGAAGAATTGACCCCCATAATGGAATAATCTTTGATGAGTAAGACAGAGCATTAATGGTATCTTTATGCTCAGAGAGTACAGCTAAAATGCGACCTGTTTTCCAGGAGTAAACTCTTAGATTGCCATCCCAACAGCCGAGAACAAATATTTTTTTGTCACTTCGAATGGTGACAGCACTCACACCAGGATTGGTCAACGTTACAGACATTTCAGTGCCAAATTCGAAGCCAACACCTATTTTAAATATAATAGCTGAGTCTGACTCGGTTCCAAAAATACCTTTTCTTTTCTCTTCGTCAAAATCAACAGCCATTGGCACATTAGATATTTTGAACTTACTTATAGGAGTACCTCTTAACACATTCCAGAGATAAATATCACCACTTTCATAACATACTAACAATAATACAGTATTATCCAGCCTTATACATTTCATAACCATTATCTCTCCAACTTTGCCAGAAGTACAACAAAATGTATTTATTATTTTGTAGCTGTTTAAATCCATGACTTTTACTTCCGAGTTCTCTGCCGGCATAAATAAGGAGCTACAGATCTCATGACCATCTGTCTCCAATTTACAGAATCCAATATAGGGGTTTTCATACTGAAATTCTAGTTGATAATTGTCGGAGAATGTCCATAAACTCACTCCTTCTCCCTTACACTGTGATAAAATACCATTTTGAAAAACTTTTATAGCTATACAAACCGAATTTCCAGCTTGGAATGAAGTTTTCCTCCTGTTTTTCTAATAAGAGAAAAATGCATGTAAGTTTAAGGTGTGATGTAAAAGAGAAAAAAAAAAGCAAATGCAGAGAAATTATTTTCTTACGATTAAGTCCCAAACATGAATTTTTCCATCTTGCGTCCCGGCATAAAGAGTATGATCTGACATAAACTCAATGCAGGAGACAGGTTCCATTTCACCGCGCAGGACGAACTTAGGATCAGGGGGTGAAGGCGATGGGTTTTGCGTCATGATTTCTGAAAATCAAAGCGACATCAACTAACTTATCAACGCGGACTAACCCTAAGACAACAAAATCGACATAGGAAAATCTTTTGACCCATGTCATGCCATATTTCACGGTTAAGCGACTTAATTCAAACTCACCGAATGTACCTATTAAGAAACTGGCACACGAAAGATGATCGTGTAATGAAGTCAAATACGACTTACACAACATGCGACTGCGTCCTGTCTAGGCTAGAGCAAGTCAACAGTGGTCAAAAATCGCGCCCTCTCCTTCCTGCCCTCTCTCTTCCCCTCTTTAACCTATCGGCAGTGAACACTGCAAATAGACAAGTTGACTACTAGTTATGCGCACGTAGTTCAGGGTCGGTTCGGAGTAGCTGCGCTGGCCACGCTACCCACTGTCCTCGGCACTCACGAGCGCAGCTCGCTTCATGCAACTGTAGCCAACGAACGCACCCACGTGGTCAGTACCACAACACCCGATGAAAGAAGTGCTGTTAAACGTCTTTTTCACTTCTGCCACATTACTTAAAAGAAAATCGTTGTATGAAAAAAGGCCTTCAAACATAAAGTTATAACTCTTCAAAGCGGTTTTATCTACGAGAATCTAGATTCTGTCTCATATTGTTTGCACTGCATGTTGGCCAAGGGCGATAATTGTCCCGTGCTTGCGCAGCAAGGCCGGACTCAGCAGCTCAGACAAGTTTGAACCTGCTTGCTTTGGTCGGGAAGAAGCATCCGCCCGCTTGCCAAAGCCAACGCCAACACAGCCCAAGCCCAAGCCGCCCAAGCCTTTCAGCTTTCAACGCGGTAGAGGAGGGAAACAAATTAGGTATGTAGAGACACGTTAGACACGTTAGCATTATTCGCTACATCTGGAATCGTGTTGCTGCTGAAATTCTTTGTGCCGTGTGCTATTTCAGCAAAGACGCAAGGCGGGACACTGTACCATGGGTGTTGAGTGTTGATACACGTCCACTGGTTTCACTAGAAATTTTAAACATTCCTGTTACCAGGGCACTAGACCGTAATCCCAAGTTGAATTTCTTGCTAGAATGTATGTATATGTGAAAGTAGGATAATTTTACACCCTCTACCTAAACTTTTGGCGCTAAATTTGGTCTATAAGTATGGTCTACTGTTCGTGAATGGCCGACATTCCACTTTCCAGAAAGTCTCCCCCCTTGTCTCGTTCTTTGTCGTTTAGATTACCGCGTTTATTATTTTTGCTCATAACCTTTGTGTACTGTTTTCTCAGTTGCATTAGATTGTTCTCCCAAAATTGAATAGTTGCTCTCGTGCCATCATTGTGGGTCTTTTATTGTATGTAGTGTTCACTTCATCCTGATTTCTTTCTGTTCGCAGGATGGCAGAATGTTTGAAAAGGAGTTTTGATTGTGTAGATGGTGAGTTGGTATTTGCCTCTTTCAAAATACTATTCGTAATTATTAATTTAATTTACTTTTATTTAATGCATTTCTTTCATTTTTACAGGAGGACGACTTCCCAAATTCCCGAGGATAGGAGTAGCAAACATTAGATTGGAGACCGAAAGTGAAATATCGGAGTGTGACAGTGAGAGTGAACACAGCTTTCAAATGCGCGATACAGGTGAGGATGTTTATACATTCAGACACTTATTACTTTATCTTAGTGCTCATCTGGAGTGAGTTATGATTTGGGTAACTCTAAATAATTTGCTGGTATGTTCTTCCCATGTACCTGTAAAGGTGCAATCACAGCAACTTTTTTCAAGATGAATATTTTTTAGAAGTTTGTGATCTTGAAACCATGGAATGAACCTGAAACTCATTGTGCATGTGTCAAAAGTAGCATCCTAGCCTAATTCTGTATTTTCAAATAGCATTTGTGAAGCCTGTGAACAATTTAACAGTGAAGCTCAGTTGAATACACCATTTTGAAAAAGTAGAAAGCGCTCAATGAATTTTTTCAGCAACTGTTTGAAGTTGATTATCTTGTTATGATTACTTTGGAAGTAATGCACTGTCATCTAGAGAACTTCCAATTGTATCATATCACAAGATGCTAAGTATTTTTATAAGATTATTGGTACTTATATATTTTTCTCTTTTCACTTCATCAGACGTTATTGAATTCATCAATTCAGTTGCCTTATCGTTTCTGGGCTATGTATGTCAGTTGGCGCTTTTTACAGTCATCAGAGACTTAAAATCTGTTGTTCTGGCGGAGGGGACAATCTTGGGAATTGGTGCTGCGAAGTTGGGAGTAGAGAATTGTCAGCCTTTGAATACAAATGTGTTGTAGAATCTCATGCCATTTTAGCAATGAAAGGGAAAGGATTGTTTTGCTTCTTGTCGGTCACTTGGCATCAAAGACCAGTTCAAAGCTGTCATTGACTCCTCCTCACCTGGCTGTGTCCATGGTGCCCTTCACATACAGAGTTACCCATATTTGTATGGTGTCAACTCTCATTCCAGATGAGGTTTCAGCACAAACAATTATGCCTGACATTGTACCAGGCTTGTTTGATGCTCAGTGCTGGAAAGTGTATATGTATGTGTGCAGCAAAGAGCAGGGATCAACAGCCTTTTAGGAATAGAACGGTCTGGAAAATGACTGTATCCTAAGTGTCTTACCCTCCCCTGAGGAAGTGACAAGCCTTTTTTTTTTGGTATCGCCCACTTGGGTGCAGACTCAAATTTAAGTTGAGTCAAATGGCTGTAACAGCGCAACACTGATTTCAGTGATTGGCTATGTGATCCCTTGCTATGAGTTGAAATGTTCTATGTGCATGTGAACATTAATGACACTCCATCCCGTTGGATCCCCTCCAGCTTCAGCTCGTGACACAAGCGATACTTCATCCAAATCGGAGTCGGAGTACACTTTAGCCAGTCTGTCCGAAGGAGAAGTTTCTGAAATATCATCTGGACCTGATGTAAGTGGTCACTGAAATATTTGGACTAGGTCTCCATTATTCAGTCATTAAAAGTATCATCGTTGTATGTTGAGCCTCTTAGTGACTTAGTGTTCCACATCTGCATGTATATTCCTGTCAACTCTGGAGTCTTCGTTAATAATCCTATAATCATCCTCAATTGCCTTGAACCCTTTTTTCTGCTATGACAAACAAGAAAGTTGTAACTGAAGAATGTAATTTATTTCAGGATGTTTGCATTGTTGGTGATTTTGACCAACTAGTTTCTGATTTTGGATCAGACATTTCTGTAGTTGCGGATCTATCGGATTTTTCTGATAGGTCAACAGATCCGGAAATAAGCAAGGCAGATTATTGGAAATGTGTAAGGTGTGGAACAACAAACAAAAATCCATGCTTTCGATTGTGTATTAGGTGTTTTAGGGTGAGTTGTTGTTTTATAATGTTTTCACATTACTTTATTTTAACACTTTCTCCTCTTGTGTTTTTTTTTGCTTTTCCCTCCTTTTTCTCTCCTGAAATGATTGTCTTAATATGTTTACTCTTTCACAGGAACGAAAAAGTGGTCTGCCTCCTCGTCCTAAGAGTAGAAAAAATACATTATCCCAAGAAAGCATATCAAGTTCAAGTACCCTAGAGCAACAAGACAGTGGGCTTGGATTAAGCCAACAAAGTAGTCCTCCAGATGTAAGTGATGCCAGTGAAGCAGCTGGTGAACCTAAGTGCGGTTGTTGTTTTGAGCGTCCGGTGGACTCAATATTCCTCCATGGTGATGTTGCTCATCAAATCTATTGCTATAAGTGCTCACAAAGAGTTTGGAAGGAAAGAAAAAGGTGTCCGTGCTGCAATCGAGTTTCGAAGGTCATCAAGGTGTACAGGAGCCCCATGATTGGTGGTAAGTTGTCTCTCTCTTCAGTATGCTACTCTCAATCTAACCTACTCTGCTTTTCATGAGTCCTTTAATTCTCTCGTTTTATTTTTTTATCTATCTTTTACCGTTGCTGATATTTTTGGTCTTTGTTGATTTATTTCAGAGAACTAATGAGTATTAAAAATGAGTAATTAATAAGTAAGTTTCAAAAAAAAAAGAAAGGTTTAATTTCAAAACTGAGAAGAGCTAGGAAGTTTTAATTCTCTTATTTACAATCTCAAAATCTGTGCTCAAGGCTTTACTTCTAAATTCTATGATTTTAAATTTGAAATCTTAAAATTCTGTTTGGAATGTTCTTTTGGGTTCCAACTGAAAATCATGTATCAGGTGTAGTAGATTTTTCTGTGGCTTCACAATTTTCTTCAAGTGCTGCCTAAGAGAATTATAACCCTCCATCTTTGATGTTTTCTACCCAATCTTCCTGAAGAGGTGGTAAGTTTCTGCCCTCTCTGTTTATTTAGACTACAGGTTCCTATGAAATCGGTGCTGAGGGTCATCTCATGTTTTTCGTTGTACTAAATTTTTCAATCAAGAAATTTTGATTGGCAAGTTAATGTTTAAAGCCAGGTTAAACTTGACTGTCAGGGAGTCTCCCTTTTTTCAGTTTGGGGAAAGTTTGATTTTTCAATTTCAATTGTTGTTTGTAAATATGATCTTGTTATATTTTTTTAGGATCTTCTCATTGTTTTCCTAGTGCTTTAAACTAATTAGGGTTTTCCAATTTAGACAACTCTCTACATTCTATTTTAACTAGTAGTTTTTCAAATAATTGCCAATCCCTATATCTGAATCTATCGTTCAGCCTGGCCCTCTGCAACATTGCACAACGCGAAACCAGAGGAAAATTGGTCAAGTTAGTAGCTGCTCAACTTAATCCGCGTATTTCAAGCTCTAGTTGATGACTATCAATTTTTCTTTGGTTTTATTAGCTATTTCCTTCTTTATATTGGACTCTGCTTGACTGAACTGTTAAAGGAAAAGCATTGTTTCTTTCATCAGTTTCATGTTGAGTGAAGAGGTGATCGCCGCAATGATGTAGTATATTAACAAATTTTATATTGCCTAGTAAAATGTAAGTGGTTTACAGGGTAATTGAAAACCATTAATGCTTTCAATTTTATATCGTAAAGTTTGTTGAAATTGTATTTCTGTTTTCAAATATTCAATTTAAAGCTGGAAGATGCAACAAGCTGTCATTGCTTGCACTCTAGCATTTTAAAAATGGGCAAGCAGACTTGTGTATTCCCACATCTTGCTCTACAACACATTCTGTTGGGGCATGTTGTGAAAATTTTTATTTTTTGTAATGTCTTTTTTTTTAAAGTTTCTCTCTTTCTCTTCCTTTTTTAAAGAAGTTTCACCAATGGAGCTTGAAGACTTCTGGCTCATAACTGGTGGAGATGTTTGCTTAGATACTTCACATATTACCTATGATGATAAAAAAGGAAAGAAAAGAAAAGAAACCTGTTTGTCTTGGTTTGGTTCCTTAAACAGGATCAAAGTAAACTTCCAACTGAACTTTTCATGTGAAGTTTAGGTCCTGAAGTCAACTCAATTAGTTTTTTGGTGTTATTCGGTTTTGTGTCTCCTAAACTTAGAAATTTGACATTGACGGGAGTTGAGACCCCTGTCTTATTCTATCAAAGAATATGGCAATTAGGAACTTAGATGGGTTTGGGGGTTGATTTGCACTTGTGCCATAATCTACACCAAACACACTCATTAATATGACTTTTGCATTTGATTTCTTCAAATGTCTACTTTGATTTTCTTGAACATGCACACATGATTTCATTTTAAAATGACCAAAATTACCTGGGATGTAATGCTGTTAGCATTGTGGGGTGAAATTGGTTATTCTCTAGTCCTTTTATTGTGTTTAAAACTTTATTGACGTGTACAGAAGTGTGCTTTATACACTTTCTTATAGTACGCTACATTATTTTTGTAAACAGCCGCGGATCGGGTTTGGAGCATTCGTCTGTACTGAGAAAAAATAAATAAAAAAAAGCAACAAAACAAACACTGAGTGTGTACTCAAAATCAGAGTGCCGCTGTATGTGACAACAGATTTAATAAATAGGTATTTAATCTAACTTATGTTTTAGATTCAAGTAAATTTTTCCAATCCTGCATGGTGGTTATGACCTGACTACAACTTAACACTATACCAAGAACAACATCTCTTTGTCTAAAGTTCCTTTGACTTTTGTCTCTAATTTTCTCCAGGAAGTGTTCACCATTTCCTAGAGAGAAAAGAGATGTTAATTAGATATTGAAACCTATGCAGTCCGATTATTACATTGTGGAACACACTGTTTTACTATGGTATGACATAAATCCATAGCCTTACATGGGGTACCCATCCAAAAATCCATGTACTAGGGCACTTAGGATTTGTAGTTTGTCCAGGGGAATTAAATTTTCTGGTTGTCGATAGCAGTGTGATGTGTCAAGATGTGCCTGACCTATCCACATCTAACTCTAAACACAGATTTTAAGAACGGCCTCAACGTCTTTAAGCGGTGGGCTACTGAACACACTCTTGAGTATCCTGAATGTGATCCTCTACCGCAATTACTGACTGGGCGCCGCTTCAACCATCTCCTCGCTCGTCAAGAGCGACAGTCTTAGAAATCTCTATTTGTGCAATGATTATGAAAACCTGACTCTTGCCTTAGCGAGGATTCCTCCTTGTTAACACGTTCCCTGCGACATGACCATTATGTTGTCCTGCTCCCATGTTAAATCATAGGGACCAAAAATGAGCCTCGGGGAACGCGTTAATCTCTCTTAATTTGAGTTAGATCTAAAATCTCATTGAGAGTGAGGTTTCCAGCTTAGCTAATGAATGGAGCAAGGGGGCAAATTTCCCTCTTTTAAATAAGGATATCTGTTTGCGCTCGATTTAACTTTGATTCGGCTTTCAATTTCTAGCCGGGTACTTTAGATCGCGACTTTCGTCTAACTTTATAGAAGAGGATTGACCACAATGTGGTCACGCTTTTTTTTTTTTTTTTTTTTTCAATTTCCAAGATGCACAGCTGCACGTATCGGCACGTACAGCTGAACTCGTTAATACGACGTACCGCTAAAGATTACACAGTACCGCTGTTTTTACCCAATACGTACCCCAGTGAGAAATTTAGTTAAATCGTCATCGAAACGATGATGATTTGAAATAAATTTGTCACGTACAAATACTACAGCGTACGTGTTACTACGAATTCCCCCTCCGAACTGATGATACCTGGAACATCGCGCAGCGCTCCGTTCTAGGGGAATTCCATCATGTTCAAGTCACCCTTCATTTATTTTTCGAAGAAAACATCGGGTGTGTGTGGGAGGAGGGGGGGGGGGGCTTAGATGAGCTGGTGGGCTTTTAGTCTCGACCTCGGCTTGTCCACTCTGAAAGTCCTCTGTCGCTTTTCCGAATGGGGCTATGGTGCGAGGATGCTAGAAACGCCCCGAAACTTTAAGAGAGCGGGAATTGACAGGCCCCTGGTCTGGACGTGAAGTTCGCTTATGGGCAGCCCCTTAAGTGGACACTTTGACGTTGAAGTCCGATCTGTTCGCTCGGCTCGGACGCTGCCGGCTGTCTCAGTCGAGCGTCAGACGGGGGACAGAACGGTCACACTCGTCAAGTAAGTGCTGCCATAGGTTCCGATCGTTCGGCGTCGATGGTGCGCGCCCTTTTACTGGTGGTTGTGTAGCGGCCTTGCATAAAGGCTGGCGATTCGAGTAGCCTTTAAATTTGGCCTGCTAGGTTACATTTTGTGTGGCTTTCTCAAGAAGTTGGATGATAACGTGTGTTCGTGATGTGCCCACGACATGTCATTATCTGCAATATCCAGCCAAAATTCGTCTGTTTGTGTATTTCAGGCAAAAAAACAAAATGGTGCCAGTGTTTAGGCACACAGCTCTATTATTGACGGTTTCGTTTAAGGAACAAAATTCTCCACTTTGAGTGTAGTTGCTACATCGTGCACTCCCATGAAAAACAGCATTGGGATGAACGCTGACTACACCTGGTGGCCCAAAGATTTGGTCCGTGCTTCTTGTGGTTTTCGTCTTAGTCTCGCGTTTTGTTTAGGACTCAGGATCTGTTGTTTTTTTCGGAGTGGTAGGTCAGGGGACACAACCGATTTCTAACTCATGGCTGTTACCCTCTGATAAGCCGTTATGACGTTGACCCTAGAGGTTCGGTGTTGACGACTCGCAATGGATATTCAGAAAACTGTTTTGTAGAGCGTTTTCTTTCTCTTCAAGAAATTAATGTCTTTACTTTGAGACACCCCTCCGCCATGGTCCGCGGAAACCCCCCCCTCCCTCTTGCATAGATTAACGCCCAGTTAACGGCGATCACGTCGTTAGCGACTTTGTCTTAGCGGTCGGCCAAGCGAACGAGATTGTCAGTAAAGCTCGCGAGCCTTGGTGGCAGGCAGAGGGAGCGGAAAACACCGCTGTGCTGTGGACTTCTTGACGCATAGAATGTTACAGCATGAGTATATGCTGTCTGCAACCCCCGTCAGAAATGTTTTCACAGCGGTTGCTGCCCTACCAACAGAGATTTGTCACGAAACGTCAGATTGACGTATTAGTGATGTGAAAATGACGGTTTAGGGTCCAAAAAGACGTCATAGTGATGCGAATTTTCATCATTTTGACGTTTTGTGACCAATCTCTGTTGGTAGGGTGGCCGCTCTCGTGATGCGCCGTCCAGGAGCGGATCCAGGCCGGGCCTGACGAGGGGGAGGAGGGAAGGCGGTGACGCCACGCTTGTTGCCTACCCCTAGGGCGACCGGGGGCGTTACCCCGTACTTTCCCCTCCCGCCCCGCAACCCCACGACTCCTCTGATCCGCGTCTGCTACCGTCTCGCTCTCTTTTAAAAACCCACCAAGTCCTAAGGTTATCCCATTGGTCTTCGTGCTTTTTGGTGCCTCATTTCCCCGGCATGGTGCACACATCGGTCCGTTGACCGTCCACTAATAACACAGACGTTCCCCCATGCTGATACATCCGCGAGGGCTTTTCTTCTCTTGTAACTTATCGCTCTGGCAGGGGGCTCGCTTTATCGGGACGCGCTCCCACTCTTATTCTTCTCGATTTAGCCCGTGCGGCCTTCTTGCCAGCGTTACTGCATCGCATCGTGGTTGAGCGGTCGGGGGCCGCCCGCCGGGTAGGCAGCCAGTTAGAGTTCGATGCCGCGCGGGCCGCGAAGCTACGCGGAGTCCCGTTGCGGCGGAGTCCCCCGTCACTCCACCCACTTTCCTGATCCTTTCACTCCCTCCAGCACTGGAGCGCGATACAGTCCCGTCGTTGCAGTGAACTTCCCTGCTCCGGCTTGTGAAGAATACACAAATGTGTCGGTTTCGGTAGCTGTTGTGGCATTTGAGCGGGGGCGGGGGAAGTCCACTGACATCGTCGTCCATAATAACGAGGTCTATGAGTGTTTCTCTCTCGACGCTAATTATAATAGTCTGTATGCGAATTAAGACGGCCTTCAGCTTCTCTTTTCTAATGCGACGAAGTTCTTCAAAACAAGATAGATTTGTATGGATGACATTTGTGTTTTTATACATCAAGAAGACAGCTGGAAATTCGCGGCCTGTTATGACACACATCGGATTAACGCGTGAGGTGTCGGACGGTGTTCTAAGACGGTGTAAATATGCCAGAGGACGGTGGAAAGGTGTCCATAACCGTATGACGCTCGCGGCAAGTTAACACACGTCTCTTATGCGTTCTCTCGCTGTCGACAGGTGTAGCACCAGGATCGCACCGGACGCCATCATGGCCCTCCACAAGCTGGTGGACGACCCCGAGCGCTGCGTGGACGACATGCTGGCCGGGCTGGCGGCGGCCTTCCCCCATCTGCGCGTGCTGCCCGACACCCGCGCCGTCGTCCTCTCCGGGGCCGGCGGCCAGGACGACGCGGTGGGCGTGGTCTCGGGGGGCGGCGCCGGCCACGAGCCCTTCTGCGCGGGCTTCGTCGGCACGGGCATGCTGGCCGGCGCCGTGTCCGGCTCCGTGTTCGCCTCGCCGCCCGCCACGCACGTGGTGCGCGGCCTCGCCCACGTCGCTCGGCGGCATAGGGGTGAGTGAGTTGAAGTGGCTAACACCGCTGCTACCTCTCAGCTGCGTAACAGCAGTTTAGATGTTTGGGCAGTACAAAAATGTCACATTGTATCTTTGTTTCCTACAGGTGGAGTTCTTCTGGTGATTCCCAACTACACTGGAGACTGTCTGAATTTTGGCCTGGCGTCGGAGTGGGCTAAAAGAGATGGCATTCCCGTATGTTCCATTGCACAAGATGTATCTCTATTAGTTAGTTAACCTATTAATATTATTAAATCATTGCAATTTTTACAGGTAGAGAGTGTCATTGTCGGAGAAGACTGTGCTTTACTAGGAACGGGGAAGGGCTCCTCAGCTGGTCGTAGGGGCATGTGTGGGTTGGTTTTTGTCTATAAAGTGAGTCGAGTGTTTCCTTAGCCTGTTGCATCAAATTGTGCTTGCCTTGTTCAACTTAAGTGTTTTTGAATTCTTTTCATACAGATTGCTGGTCAATTAGCATCAGAGGGACTGGCCTTGAAGAAAGTAGCAGAAGCAGCCCAGAAAGTGATTGACAATATGGCAACAATGGGATTTGCTCTGAGATCATGCACTGTTCCTGGTTCAACCCAACTCCTCTTGAAACTTGATTCTGACAGCGTTGAGCTAGGTGTTGGAGTTCATGGAGAAGCAGGTGCCAAGACTATTAAAGTAAATCAATTTATTGCGTGCTTTTACACTGTCACATTTAGTTCAAAAAACCAAACAATGCTAATAATCATGTGTTATTTGCTTTGTAGGTTGCCCCAGCCTCAGAACTGATAGCTGAAATACTGAATCCAATCTGCCAGACGCTAAAACCTGCCAAAGGAGAAAAAGTAGCAGTTCTTGTCAATAATCTTGGAGGTCTTTCTCAATTAGAACAGTGGGTAGCAGTGAGCATAATTCACAAACAAATATGTAAGTGGCTTGTTTCAAAATTTTAATTTTAAATACATTCAACACTTGTTAAGTTATTAATGGAACTTTTATTTTAGCATCATGGGGCGTTTTTGTGGAACGCATATATGCTGCCCCAGTGATGACTTCCTTGGAGACTGTTGGTCTGCAGGTGTGTGTTCTGAAACTTGCAGAAAATTCGTGGTTGAGATGCCTTGATGCTGTGACATCTGCCCCTGGTTGGCCAGGCTGCTCTCTTTCCATACCTCCTACTGGAGAACACAAGCCAGAAGAACTAGTAGCAAAGCTTGAGGATTTGGATATAAAGGTAAATCAACTTTTAGTTTCTAATGCACTTTTCTTTGGTTTTTGTTTAATTTCACATTTTATGTTTTACATACCTAATCTAATGTTACATTGTTTAGGAATCAGGCCCTGAGTTGGAACACGCACATTCACAGTTATTACTCCATGCTTTAGAAACAGCTGCAAAAGACCTTATTCAACATGCAGATAAAATGAATGAACTGGATAGTGGTTGTGGAGATGGAGATTGTGGATCAACACTTGCCAGATTAGCCAAAGGTGTTGTAACTGTTTTCAATTGCTCCTTTTCTTTAGAGAGAAATTTGGATCTATTAGTCATCAGCTACTTTTAATTTCAGGAATCTTAACTAAATTGCCAACACTTTCTATTAAACACCCTGCTAAATTGTTAATGGAGCTAGCAAACTTAGCTAGTATAACAATGGGCGGTACCTCTGGTGCAGTTTATGGTCTGTTATTTTCTGCTGCAAGTGAGCAGTTAAGGAAGGTAAAATGTGTGGCAGATGCTCTAAACTTTTTGGAGCATATTGCCAAGTCTTGGGAAGAAGGATTACGCGGTATAATGCGTCACAGCAAGGCTCGTCAAGGTGATAGGACCATGGTAAGTTCATTTAAGTAACTGTATTAGAAAAAAAAAAAAAAACTTGGTAAAATTCCTAAAAAACCGGTTTCTTATAATATATTTCAGCTTGATGCTTTGATCCCAGCTTGTGAAGAGTTCTGTAAGGCCATCTTAGAAGGTGCCAATGGACCCACAGCTTTAGCAGCAGCAGTGCTTGCTGCTCGCAAAGGATGTGCAAGCACAGCTGATATGTCCGCCAAGTAAGTTTTCCTGTTAATTCAAATAATTTTCATGCCATAATTACTATGCTACAATATAAATTTTATTTTGGCAGTGTTGGCAGAGCAAGTTATGTTAATGAAACACATCTTGGTGATGTGGATGCTGGAGCATATGGTGTTGTGGTGTGGTTGGAGGCTTTGTTGAAAGCATTTGAGTCAAAGTAATAATTCATCTTTTGCTTTTGTTACGTTTTCATTCAATTTCCTGTAATTATGTACCTTTTCTGTTTTATTTTTTTAAATTAAATTTTTTACTCTTTTAACAGCTTTTATCATTCATTTTGTAGTTTGTGTTGAAAGGGAAGTGTACCTTAAGGCCAACTTACTACAAGACAAAAATTTTCTTGGGTCATGTGGCATAACATCAAGTTAGGGGAAAAACAACATACAAATAAAGGTAACACCTCTTCAACTCCGCTCAAGAATCTTCTATGTCATGAGTTTACTACATATCATTTACATCAGGGAAATAGGATTTTGTCAGAAATACATTGACCGAGCCTATCTGGAAGATATAATGTTTAGTGTTTGTGGACAGATAGTCTTCTGCCCTGTATGGTCTGGTCATAAGTCAAGAAAGACTAGGCGTAGGATAGGCAACCCATAGTACGACAGCGCACCCAGGTCTAACGGGCATGCCTACCCTACAGGCGCTCTGCCTCACAGCCGAGCTTAGCTCTACGAGAAGTAGAGATCATCGTCTAAGATACTTTTTTCAAATCAACTCTTCATTCATGGGTTATAGCTTTGTATTACCCCGTTTTCTTTTGAAAATGTGGTCGATCCGTGTCTAGTGGTCCCCAATAATGACTCTGAGCAGCGTGGAGGACGAGGGCTTCCCGTCCGGCCCCTGCGAGGAGATGCTGTCCTCGTGGACCGAATAGGTCTTTCCATCAGGCAGCGTCCAGGATGAAGATCTACTGCTCGTGCTGCTGCTGGAGGACGAGTCTACAGGCTCGGCCGCCGCCACGGGCTCGGCAACTGCCACTGCGGGCCCTGAGCGGCTGCTTTTGCTGGAGCTGCTGGACTTGAAGCTGTAGCTGCTGCTGCTGCTGTAGCCCCCGGGTGTTCCAGACGACTCCCTTCTGCTCCGCTCGGCGGCCGCGGCCAGGCGCGCGCGACTCGCTCTCGCGAGGGGGTTCTCCACGCCGACGACCCTGGCCGCGAACGAGATGCCGTCGTCGCTGCCGGGGCTGGTCGTCGTGGAGGAGGAGGAGGCGGCGAGCGGGGTGATGCGCCGGACCTCGGCTCCCGACGCCGTGGCGTTGGGCCGGAAGTACACGGCTTTGGCCCTGCGGAGCCCGACTCCCACGCTGGGCGACTTGGGCCGCACCGCCAGGTGAGTCTCCACCACGATCTCGTCGTAGGCGGTGCCGAGCGGGGCTGCAACGAGAACCTATTGTTATATCACTGGCCGCGCGCGAACTATCCCCGTCGTCACCCTCCGTTATGTTTTTTTTTTTAATCTGTAGAAAGGATTTATGACATCGAACGGCGTAAGTCCTGTGGGGAGTCCGTGGACTTACGCCCTTTTCACTTTTTACCAGTGAACTGGACCGCCCCATAACTCGGGGCACGCGGCCCGGCAGCCGTTGACTAATGCGCTCTTTCGCTGAAGCAGGAGCAATTACGAGGAGCTCAAAACGCAAGTGCGTCAGAGTTAAGTTTTTCATTACTTCTACGAACGCGGCATAGCGTCACTGATTTTTCTGAGGTTCGTGTCGAATGCGATGGGTTCTTACCCTTGCCGGCGCTGGGTGCCTGCGGCCGGGCCAGCCCCTCGGCAGCGAGGAGGGCCAGCAGGAGCGCCAACGTCACCGACGTCGCCATGGAGCTGCGGGCGTCCATCTGCGGGGCGAAGGGGCGCGCGCCGACTACGGCTCGGCCTGCTGTTGGTGTGGTGCACCGCGAGCCCGCGAGTACCTCAGCGGTGCAGCGCCCGGTGGTGGCGGGCTGCTGCTCTGGCCGTCCAGGTACAGCTGACGGAGACGTCCTGTCTCAGCGACCGTGAAGCGGCGGCGGCGGCGGCGATGGCGCAGAGCAGGCAGGTGGGGCGCCGCGGGAGCAGGCTGCTTGAGTCACTCATTCACCGGGCTGGGGCCGTACTGTGCAGGGCTGTGCAGGGCGGTGCTGAGCGCGGCGCCACTCCGTGCAGAACTGCTATGCGTTCACCACCGCCGGCCCGGACAGACTCGCACTGGAGTGGCGCTGGTTGCACAGTTGTGCGCGGGGCGCGCCCGCGGGACTGGATTCTGCATCGGTAAGGGGGAAGAAGGGGGACGGGGTGTCCCCCCGCTCCTTTCCCCTCGACGTCGTACCGCAGCCCACACACAACCCAACTACTACTCTGAGTCGCGAATGCCGTTGGCTTCCTCGGCCCGCACACGACAGGAAACCCCGCACACGCCTCGTGTCGGCCCGATCTTTGGAAATATTGGCGGATCTGGAATGTTTTTGTGTCGTGCGTGGAATGACGTTTGGCTAATGGTTTGTTGTGGCACGCCCACCCCGCGGGATCCTGTTATATACGCCCCCCTCCGTCCCCGCTAGCGATAAGCGTCCGGTGTCCGGTCCGGAGGTGCTTATGTCACATTGCGGTGCGCGCGCACGGGCCGCCGCCGTGGCCGTGCCGCTGGCGCAACCGGCTGGCCGAGAAAGAGAGAGAGAGAGAGAAGAGATATGGTTGGAACTAGAAACGCCGATGTCGCGCATCCCTTTCGCACTCACGCGATCAATGCGATACTGGCTGTGTCCGCGATCGCGCGGCGGCGGCGGAGCCCGCCTCTGCGCCGCGCAGTGTGAGGAAACTCGTGACAGAGCGCCTGTGGGGTAGGCAACCCAACGCGCGCGCGCGCACGATTGCCTGCGTGCTCGCCACGGCTGACTCACACTCCCGCCAGGTTGATTGTTCGTCGTGCATCTTTCTTTCGCTCCCCGCGCTCCTACGCCGCTCCTCTCCCCCGTACACAGTGACAGTCGCGCACATGTAATGTTTGCATCTTGGGTATGGTGTGCAAGATCTTCCGTCGACTTCTACTTCTTCTCGCCCTTGCCGACGGTCATGGACGGGACGGTGGCGCTGGACACGGACAGCCCCGCCTGCAGCCCGACGTGGTCCCAGAGCGTCGACTCGCTCACGGACGCCCCCGAGGACAGGGCGCGGAGCGCCGTCAGCTCGGGGACCACGTCGCCGTCCTCGTCCAGGTCCAAGTCCAGGTCGGGGCCGGTGCCGCCCGCAGCTCCCGACACCTCGGCGTCGTGGCCGTCAGGCCGCGTCACCGTGAGCGTCGGCCTGTGGTGTGGGCCAGGTGAGCAGTTTACCAGCGCAATGCTCGACTGTTGTGTTGCCAATGAGGACATTGCTTGAGATTTGTGATATATTAAGCAACCCCTGAGCCCATAGTGTAGCGTCAAGTTCCCGAACGCGGCAACGTACTGGAACGAGCAGAGGGGTAGTCGTGTCGCCGGCGGCGCACTTTCGGCGACGGCCTCCACCTGGTGCCAGCACAGGTCGCCGATCTCCCCCGCCCTCGTCCCCATGGCGGCCGTCATGGGTGGCGTCTTGTCCGCTCCCATCTCCGGTACGGCCAGGAAGGCGGCGCTGTTGGCTGGCGCTTTTTTTGAACCGGCCAACCGGGCGGGAGACCTCTTGGCTGCGACGCGGGGGACTCAGTTCAGCCACCATTCGCCCGCACTCCGCGTCGCCTCATGTCGGCAGTGCTCTTCCGTCACTTACCCTTCTGGCGCGTGGGCTTCTTGGCGGGCGCCCCGCTCATCGTGCCCACCACTCTGCAACACCAGCGCAGAGAATGGTTTGGCAAGGCGTCGCTTGGGGTGGTATAGCGGGGGAGGGAGCAGGGTGCAATAAGGTAGCCTCCTGGAAGAACGATGTCTAACCGTTCAGAGGCCGCGGGTTTGGGAAAGGATCTCGACAGGCACTCCGGGTCGGGCCTCGTTCTCGGCTGGTGTCCAGCGTACTACCTTGCCACTAAGGCAGGGCTGCCGCCTCGGTTGCCCTGCAGTGGCAATGGGTCTCCTCACAGGCTGGGCCTTTCATGCCGCGCTTTTTATTTCTGGTTAGAACACCAGTAACCGCATGCAGGCGTGCGGGCGGGCTTGGCGCCATATGGCCCCTTGCAAGTATGCAACTCGTCCGAAAGCGTGCATTCGGTATAGTATAACCAGAAAAAGTAGGACTCAGACCACCCACCCTGTATTTGAGAAGGCGGTGTGGTCTGCTCTGGCCGTGCACAGCCGCCCGCTCCGGCGCCCCAGCAGTTTGCACCTAGACCCGTCTCAAATGCTGGAGCATCCTCAGGCCGCGGCGCGCTGGGCGCGGCACGCGCCATGGTTGGCGAGCAAACCCATCGCGGTTCGCATCGTTGCTGGGCAACATTTATTCGTGAGATCGAACCCTCGTTTTTCTTTTGATGGGGAGCTTTCCCACTCTTAACACATTTTAGGTTTTGTCTCTAGATCGAGTAGCTGCTTCCTGCAGGCGCATAGGGGTATACATAAACTTTTCGATAGCGTCGCCGTCCCGCGCGACGCACACGCGATGGTCGCTGGTCGCTATACTTTCTGTGTCGCGCCGCGCCCGAGAGGTGCACTAGAGCAGGAAGCGTCAAGAGAAATGTTACCTCGTTTATCAACTACAATGCCACGCATTTCCATTCGCGCCGGCCTTTGTCTTCAGCACTTCAACAGTCGCAGAGACTGTTTTGTGGTCGATCTCCCAGTGGGAGGAGACCCACCACATTACCCCTCGCACTGTCCAATCTGACGGTTCGTGAAAGTCGTGCGTGTAAGGGTGAGTAGATGCATATGTATAGAGGAATAGTTCTGAAAACGAACTTGCGGCAACTTTAATTTATTGGGAATAAATAAGTACTACTCCATGTACAGTGGTGGCGTCTTTCAAGGTATTTCGAAATCTCGCCAAACATTAAAAATTAATAAATAAATAAGAGCTACATCACAGAAAATTTAACTCCCCTACCTACATCGTCTTTTACCGATCGTTACGTAACGTTCTTTTGTTGAGATCCTCGCGTCCCGCATAATTCGCTTGGCGCTTTGCTTTGGAATCCTCACGTACTAGTAGAAGCTGTAGCTGAAAACAGAGAAAAACATTAACGCAGGGCCATGTTTTTTAGTCTTTCACCCAAATTAAGATTATGTCAAACTAGAAATACAAAGTTAGTGAGGTTTGAAAGCACTTTTCTCCACCCTCCACCTTGTGGTCAAAACACAGACACAAGCGTTCAAAGCTGCTGCGAAACAATGCATTTTCGACGACAGTTTTAGTTTTAGATGGTGACTGCGTAGTACTTTTTTACCACCATAGATTGACAGATTCTAAACTGTTGCCTGCCACTTTATTCCAGGGACTCTTTAGTTATTGGGGACTTACTCGTCGTAGAGTGGGCCTCCCCGGCCGTGGCCGCCGGCTCCGGCCTGGGACTGGCTTTGGGTCTGGGAGATGGAGAAGGGTCCCAGGGCGAGGGTCTGGGTCTGGGATTGGCTCTGCGCGCCCGCGCCTCCGTGGCCCGCTTGGGCTTGGGCCTGCGCCTGGGACGCACCACCTGCACGTGCAGCGAAAGCAACGGGGAAGCACGAGGACACACTCGCACCGGGACAGGACAGGACAGAGGGATCACCAGGACTGGGGCCGTTCACAAGCCAGACTTACTTGTTTGCAAATATTGCACCTCCTCGTGTAGGTGGAAAAACTTCGCGAATAGCTATTTTGTGAGTGCGTGAGAGATGTGACGTACCCTAAAAGCTTGCTGGTTTGTGAACGCCCTGTAAGCCGACTCCCCCCATCCACCCTGCCTGCTTGCAGCACCACACTAACCTCCGTATCCCCCATAGCCACCCCCTGGGTAGTAGCCACCTCCGAAGCCTCCAGGCCTGCCATGCTTGTGGCCGAACAGCCCCAGGACGGGGGAGCGCTTGCCTCGGGTGTCGTTGGCGCCGCTCGGCGCCCCGCTCGGCTCGGCGGGCGTCTCGGGGGTCGCGTCCGTCGGCTTGGGGCTGGCGTCGCCGTCGGCAGCCGGCGCCGCGGTTGTGGCGGCGGTAGCAGTTGAAGTCGCGGCGGTGGCGGCTTCTGTGGCGGAGGGGGCGGTGCTGGAGCTGCTGGCGGCAGCAGTCGTAGTCGGGGTGGCCTCGGTGGAGGTCGGCGCTGCGGAGCTGGTCGGGGTGGGGGCGTCCGCACGACGTCTCCTTGAGGCAGGGGCGGCAGGGGCTGCCGTCGTCACATCACTGCTCGTCGCTGCGCTAGACGCGTCGGAGACTGTGGTCGACGAGGCCGACGCTGTCGTTGTTGACGGGGAGGTTACTGCTGCCTGTGCCTCTGTGCTGGAGGCCGGTGTTTCGCTGGGGACGGCGGGCACGGGCACCGACTCTGGTGTCGCGACCTCTTTTGGTGGGGGTGCCGCGGAGGTGGTTGTGGGAGCTTCATCGGACCGTCGTCGACGTGCTGCCGCAGTTGTTGAGGGCGAGGACGCCTCCGTGGACGACGGGGCTGCGGCCTCTGTGGACGACGGGGAAGCAGCCTCTGTGGACGACGGGGTAGCAGCCTCGGTAGACGACGGGGTAGCAGCCTCGGTAGACGACGGGGTAGCAGCCTCGGTGGACGACGGGGTAGCAGCCTCGGTGGACGATGGGGTTGCCGCCTCGGTGGACGATGGGGTAGCAGACTCTGTGGACGTCGCAGATGTGACCACGGCGGGCGTCTCAGGCGTCGACTCTCCGGCCTTGGTAGATGCCGTGGAAGAAGTTGGCTCGTCAGCACGTCGCCTCCTTGCCGGGGCTACTGAGGGGGCAGCACTGGAGGTGACTGCGGGTGCTTCGCTGGACGTGGCCGCAGGTGCTTCGCTGGAGGCGACGGCGGGCGCTTCAGTCTGAGCGGTGGCAGGGACCTCGGCCTCGGCAGGGGCGGCCGAGGTGGCCTCGATCGGCACGGGGGTGGGGGCGTCCTTGGGGGCGGCCGTCTCGCTAGACGGCGAGGCGTTGACCGCGCCCGGGGCGGAGCTCGCCGTCGTTGCTTCGGGCGTCACGACGAATACAGCCTCGGAGGATGTGACGGCGGCGGTGGGGAAGGTCGATGCAGCTGCTGACACGACGATTACCTTCTCGGTGGTCACCGGGGTGTTACCTGCGCGACAGACAAACAAAAAACGCCCCATCATTACTAGGAATTAGGTTTTCAGCGTGGTGAACGACAGGTTGTGATCGTGTAGTTAGATTGTAATTATGATCCTTAAGAATTTATCCGGGAATCCTGGGGTTTCGATCGATTTCGGTAATGCAGGTTAATTGCGATATTTTCTACCGAGAAACCACGTTGAGTAGATCGAGATGTATACACATGTAACACATGTAACACACTGGGTCCGCACTGGACCGCGGAAGTGGAACCGCTGTCCTATCTGGTGTCGAGGTGCTACGTCACGCTTCGGCCACCAAGCAAGCAGCGCCCGGGGAAAAGCACATTAATCACTCGGAAAAAGAGACCATGTCGTCGGCTGATGCGATGCAAGGCGAACGACGACGGTCAAATTCCTGATCCTGGCCAAGTATGCCACAAATAGGCGAAAAGTGAATTGATCTGCGGGCTCCCTCTCTCCGTGTTGACTCCCAAATCCGAGAGTCCAAGTTTACGGTCGGCTGAACTCTCTTTCATTTTCTCTCTCTCTCTCTTTCTCACGCGCGCGCGCACACACTCACTCACACACACACACACGCACACACACGCGCGCGCGCCCAGCCACTCGGCACGCTCGGCACAAAAGATGCTCGAGATGCTCTTCCTGGTGACCTTGAGGACGGCCCCGCCCCGCTGGAAGTCATTTCTCTTCGTTTCTGGTGCCGCCGCCGGCGGCGTGCGCAATGAGTAGGTGTTGTTGTATTGCCTTCTTTTTGAGGAATGGTCAAGCCTGCATCAAATGGGTAACTCATCTTCGTAATGAGATTGCTGCTTGTGCCGCGGTGGCGTGGGGCCGAGAGTCGAGGGGAAAGGGGAGGTGGAGGTGGAAGGGGGGGGGGGTGATCCCGATGGGAGCTGGCGGGGTGTGTGTGGTGTGCGTCGTGGAGCCGAGAGCAAGGCCGCCAGGATCCGAACTGGACCCGTTGGCAGGGTTCACGAGAGTGCATGCGACGCAGTGACGCAGCATGCGTTTTTTTACACAAACTGTAATTTTTGCAACCTTTAGCACATTCTCCCATAGGCTCACACTTTGACAAAGAAGATACACAATAATCGATACATTTTAAAAACGCTTTCCCCCACAAGAATTAACCCTTATAAATGTTAAATAATTCGCGCATTTTGTAGAAGTAATAGACCAACAAGGAGGCCGACCGACGCTTCCTCACTCAGGCCCGCTTGACCCCTGCGAACCGTTGGGTGGGCCACCAGTAGAACGCCCCTACATTGCCCAGAGCAAATTGCCTACCCAGTAGGCGCCTTGACCAAACTTCCTTCAATGAAACGCATTTTATGCCCCACTAGGACTTAATGTAAGTAGAGACGGCAAAACCAACGCGCCACCCACCCTTTTTTCCTCGTTTGCCAAGCTTACGGTTACGGCGAGGTTGAATCCCCCGAATAAAAATGTTTGCCAGAAGGCTCACCTGTTGCTTCAGCGGATGGCGCAGCGATCGCCGGAGCTTCGCTGGCGGCGGCGGCAGCAGCATCGACCGGTGTGTTAATGGCTGCGACGACAAATAAAAAGGGACTAGTGTTGAGACTTACAAAATTAGGTGGTACGGCATGCCTAGAAATAGGAATGAATGACTGTACCTTCTTCGGCGCTTCGGCGGCGGCGGAAGAAGCCAAAGCCTCCGGGTCCACCGAAGCTCTGGGACTGGGCCTGGGCTTGTGCCTGGCTGCCGCCGTAGCCTCCGCTCTGAGCCTGCGCCTGAGCCTGCGCCTGGCTGCCTCCGTAGCCGCCGTGGAAGCCTCCGCCCGGGTAGCCTCCGTAGCCACCGTTGCCGCCGTAGCCGCCGTTGCCGCCGTAGCCGCCGAGGCCGCCGTAGCCGAACCCGGGCCTCCTCTTAGGTGAGCGCTGCACGCGATCTGGGGGTAGGCATCAAGATCGAAGAGTTCGAATACATCTTACGTGACGAACAGTGTCCCTTTTGTTGTGGATGTGTCGTTTCCAAACGCATCTCCTTCGTTATCGTTTTCAACTTTTTCCTACAAACTTACTCCCCAGCGCACCTCTTAGGGCTCCTTGGTTAAAATGATTCTAAAAGCCGCGGATAATACCATAGAAAATGTGTAATCAAAAGTCACATAACCTAGTTTTAAAAATAAACTGTAATTTTACTATATTTGCCAATTCTGTAATGGAGTACTGTTTATATCGACCCCAACGGCACCCATGAAACACCAGCCTCCCCACTCTAACTAAGCACGTACCCGCTGGGGCTGCTGACGCCACGGCCACCAGGACGACGAGGAGGGCAGCGAGCGCCATCGCCGACGTGAGCGACCACCGCGTGGACCTCATGACGCTACGAATCTGACTCCTTCTTTGCTTCCGCACAAACACGAAACGCGACCCGTTCGCCTGCCGGGACTTGAGCGCACTCGGCGCCATAAGTCAATGATCTTCCTTTTTATATAAAAGCGAAGAGAGCAACATTGCAGGTGGGAGGGGATCGGCGTGGCCTGGCCCGGGATGGGATGGGGTGGGAGCAGCAGGAGCAGGCCGGGGGTCTCGGTGCAGCGGGAGCGGCCACCGGCGGCGCGGGGCGGGGGCCCCAAGGTCCTGGACGGCGGATGGACGCCGGAGAACGCGGCGACCAGCGGCCAGTAGTAGAGGGGGAGGATGTCGCCTGTGAAGCACGTGACATTCAGCCACTCCCGGGGGTGGGTTAACGGTACCGTTAGTGTGCAAGACTGATGGTGTACGGCAGGATTTGCATAGAGCATTAAATTGAGCTAAATGGAGTCAAATGAAGTAAAATGTATTGCATCTAGTGACACTTTATGGCCTGCTCCAAGATGTCTCCAGAAATTGCAGTTGCCCTAGGCTGGACGTCGACCAAAGCGCAGGGCGCCGTGGGTAACCTGATAATTGACATGATTTCGACTCTATTTAATACTAATTTAATACTTACTTTATGCCAAGCCTGGTGTAGGCACCCCACCCGCGGTCTACGGCGGGCCTTAAATGGAACTACGCAATATGTTGTATAAATTGGTCGGCACTGCGCGAGTTGCACTATCACATTTTGGTGATTCTTCGAGACTCCGTGAATTTTTATTTTTATTTGTACATGGTGAGAGGAGACTGCCCCCCCCCTTTTCCCCCCTCCGCTACAAATGTCCCTCCTTCCGCGCAGACTTATTCCTCGCAAAGCAGGTTGGCAAATGGCTAATGTTGTAGCTTGACGCCGTGTGCGACGCGCGCCGGGAGTAAGTGAGTGTGTTAGGCGCCAAGTTTGCCCGACGTCGCCGTACCAGAGTGTGGAGCCCACTCAATCGTCTGCACGAGACAGTGAGAGGCAACCGTCCTGCACGGCTTGTTTCAAGTCGCGGGAGACTCGGTTGCGGCGATCCCATTCGCCTCGCTTCCACGGGACTGCCCCCTCCCCCTCCACTCCCTCTTTTTCTCTACCACCCACCTCACTAGACCTCCCTAAATCTGCCCAAGAAACTGCTTTCTTACTCGCACCGCCCCTGTCCCTTTTGCATGTTGTGATGTGTTCTTGTATTCGGAGGACAACAAATGCACGCCGATATGCGCACCCCGTACCCCCTACCGGGTAGGGCCTAACCCCTTCCCCCGGTCCACCGCAGTGTGTGGGCGCCAGGCAAACCTCTAGCGGGCGCCACCAGCAGCCGGAAGGATTAAGACTCTTCAGCATGGAATAGTTAATAAAAATAAAACAAAGACTTGGGCTCTTCGCCGAAAACAAAGCAGCATGGGATGGGGCAGCGCGGCGGCGGGGCGAGGTGGGGGCGGTGGCGGCGCAGTGGGCGGCGGGGCGCAGAGCGGCGCTGAGGTGAACAACCCAGCCTGCTGCTGCTGCGCGCCGCGACTCGCACGCGTTGTTTCCGCCTGTATCGTTAGTTGGCCGCCCTGGACGCGCCGACGGATGGACAAGTCGGGACACCGACCGGGAAGTTGAGCAGCAGGACTTCGCTCTGGCTCCCGGGGATTATAGGCTGACCTCTCTCACGGGGTGTTGCAGGAGCAGCAAGTCAAGAAAAGGACCCCAAGTCCCATGCAGAAATGGAGGAGGTCAAGGAGATATACCTTACTGTGGCGTATGAGACATCGTAAAGACCGGTCATACATTTCTGGCTCATAGACGACTGCGGTGTTGTTATTCGTTAGCTCTTTATTTTTTGTGTTTTGTATGTTTTAATACATTCTTCGTAACAGGTCACCGTGCTTCACTCCTTGGCCTTGAGGGGTGCCGCTACCGCCGAGGAGATGGCGGAGGACGCGGACGCGATCTTGCCCACCACGTTGTCGACGGCCTCCTTGGAGCGGGCAGCGTTGTTGACGGCTGCCTGGTTGGCCGTCGCCACGATGCTGTTGGCGTTGGCCGCAAACGCGGCGGGCAGGTAGGCGAAGGCGGGCAGGAACGGGACGGGGAAGGGGGCGAAGGGGTTGAAGGCCAGCGTGGGCAGCGGCGGCAGCAGCCAGGGGTTGAAGAACCCTGCGAACGGGTTGGCCGCGAACAGCGACTGGAGCTTCTGCTGGTTCTCGAGGAACAGCTGGTGGGCCTGCTGCGCGTTCAGGTGCTGCACGTTCTCGTGGGTGTGACCCGAGCTGTCCGTACTGTAGGTGGCAACCACCCCGCCACCGGTCAGCCCTGTAACATGACAACGCAATAATTTCAATGTAAAAACCGAGCAGAGACTACACCCAACCCTTGAGTTTGGGTACCTTCTTTACATGATTAATTGTACCGAAGGAACTAAATGGGGGGGAGAAGAGAGAGGGTGGGTGCGATGTGGCGATGTGGGGGTATCAAAGGCGTTGCCTCACTCCCGGAATTGATTTAGGAAACAATTATGGCTAAAGAAGGTGCGTGATTTTCCCCCTCCCCTCCCCCGGTGCCCGCCCGTATGCCCATCGCCAGCCGCACCACTCCCCCTGTCCCTCCCCCGGGACTGTACCTTTGGTGGGGGCAGGTGTGGAGGGGGCAGCGCAAGTACTCCCTACTCCACGGAGCAGCTGGCGCAGCCCCTGCGCTTCTCGCCCTTGAGAGGCTTCACGGGGGCGGGCACGACGGGAGCGGGTGCCACGGGGACGGGCCTCACGGGGGCGGGCGCCACGACGACGGACTTCGCGGGAGCGGCGGCCGCGATGGTGCTAGCCCCAGCGCCGCCCAGCAGAGCGCTGAAAATGTTGCCAATGGCGCCAAGCCCCCCCAGGCTGTTGTTGAACAGCGCGTTGGCCTGCTGGGCATTCTGCTGCACCAGCACTTGCGTCTGCTGTGGAGAGAGGGTTGCCACGCCCTGGTGCTGCTGCCCGTTTGAGTCCGTCAGCGAGTACACCGAGATGCCACCGCCGCCTACGGACACCCACGCCGTTAACTTCACATGTGTACATCGTTCACTGATGTACGTTTAGTGATCGTGACCATTGTTTATATTGTACATTGTTAGTACCCTGTGATGCGCAAGCGTCGCACGTAAACAGCGAGAAGCCGTGCTTTTATTTATTCATTGTCTAGTGTTCCTAGTGTTTCCGAAGTCATCGAAAGGCACTTGCAATTACCCCTAAGCACGATTTTGTCACTCGCCTCATCCACTATATGGCCACACTTTCTGCCTATAAACTGTATGCGTATTTTGAGGAGGTCTTTATCTTTTAAAGAATTATTCTATCTATCTTTTAACGAAAAATGAAAACGGCTTTTTGAAGATTCTGTTGAAAATTCTAGAGGTAATCTCAAGAACGCAGTTATCTCGGTATATAGCTCTAAACATTATTATCTTTGTCCGTTGGTCTGTTTCTCGTACTGCAGCCAGGTCGCCGCAGTAAAATTACGAAGAAGCAGGGAGAAACAGGCCTTAAAGAAATGTGCAGTTAAAATTATATGTCGTTTTCATTTTTCCATCCACTAAATATTCAATAATGTCACGCCGAGTTCTTACCTTGAGGTGCGGCATGCGCGGGTAGGAGGGCCACTTGAAGCAGCAGGGTCGCCACCACGGCTGCCTTCCACGAAAACGTCGCCATCCTGTCGAGTTGCAGAGTGGTGGAGTGGTGTGTGACTGTCCGGAACGCGCAAGGGTTGGAGTCGCACTGACTCCCCCGAGTAGACCGCCGTCCGTCATGGAGTGAGGCTGCCGTGGTTCGGGGTGGTGCGAGGAAGAGGGAGATACACACGACGGAGTATTCCGATATTTCATCCCCCTCGCACCCACAAGTATTCCAAGCTGCCATGTCGTATCTCTGTCTGTCCGCCTGTCTCTGTCTGGCTGTCTCTCTATGTCTCCCTCTATTTGTCTCTCTCTCAATTAGCGTGTGCGGAGCCGTTGTAGTGTGTTGTACCACTCTTCTGCTGGATTCGATGTCAACAAGCAATTACTTACTGGCGAGTATCCGCCTCATGAGCGGAGGGTACGAGGCAGAACTATGGTTATCATGTTGGGGTATACCCGTGCCCGTGTCACACTGAAAAAACAAAGGTGCGATATGCTACTTTTTCAGCGGTGCTAAACCCGTTTAAAGTGTTTACTTTTAGTTTTATCCAAATATTTTCAGTATGAGTAAACCAATTAATTACAGTTTAATGTATACCGTCAGATGTCTCATAACATTCTGCTGCAAGTATTCAGGAATGCGTTTACTCGTTCTGTAACTAAAAGTATTTCGCTTATTGTGGTTGGATGGATAATCCATGGGACCGACATAGCACGCACTGCCGCCACCGTATTCGGGCCCCCGTCCCCGTGCGGCCCTGTTCCTGTTCTAAAGGAGAAAAAGAGAAGAGGGGGAGGGCGGCACGTTTCCTTCTGGTAGGGATAGTCTTGGGCTTGAGGACTGTCTTAAAGTGCGTCCGTCATTTGCCGTTACGCAATTGCCTAGCCAATGCAAGGTCTCATAGCGCCTGGTAGGTAGGCAACATCTTGCCCGTTGTGCTTGCGTGTACTGCGGGCCGGCCTACCTTGAGTCTCGCAGGCGCCGAGCTCTCACAATTTGTCGAATGATGAGGAACGGATGTACATTACAGACGCATTCATTGGGCAAAGACAATATTACCATCACTTATTCAGAGAATTGTGTAGTCGTCTGAGATGCGCCATGGACGTAGGCAGCCCACCCAACATCGAAGCTGGAATGGTGGCCACCTTGCCGCCTTGCCTGCGAGCAGAAGGCTTCCCTCCCGCCGGCTGAAGCGGGGGTCGACGCGGGCTGGGACCCTGCTGCATTGCAGCACACAAACTGTTTACGACAAAAAGATACCGTGCAATGGACCACGCAGGGGTATTACCACGACGCTACGGGCGATGGAGCTGTCATACATCCGCGTTTGTGTTTTGGGGAACTTTATCCTAATTTAACTAGCATGAAAAAAAGAAGGGGTCGCCCATTCACCTTAGTCGTGTACGGAGTATAATGGTATTATGCGGTATTGTAGCACGTTTTCAGGGATTTTATGACAATGTTATTTGATATTTTGAAGTATTATGTAGCATTATGAGGTATTACAAGGCTTTCACTGTAAATTGCTTACGAACTAGGTTCGTAATGCAAACCAAAACGTTCGTAGCTTACGAAGGATTTTGAAGCGTTGTATTGCGAACTAATTGTTCGTAAGCTTACGAACAAATAGTTCGTAATGCAAACCGATTGTTCGTAAGACCCGTCTAGCCTT